TCGGAAGGATGGAAGGCTGAGTCCAACTTGAGCCGGTGAGATTAGAACCGCTGAACTGCAGATTACAGTCAGCTGAAGTGGCCTGCAGTATTGCACCCTAACCACTGCACCACCTCAGCTCTAATGTTATTCCACTAAAAATAATTATTCCATTAGAAATTACATAAGACAGCTGGGACAGAATTAACCTTTCGTACAACCTTGAAAGAAATCTACTTACCGTTTATTTGCTACAAATAAGACTTCCCCTGAAAGTGTCTCCCCTTCTTTGGCAAAGAGAGGAGTTTGAAAAAGGCAGCGCACTTGATACCAATGGGTCAGAGGCTCTGTTGGAGCAGTGGAGAGCCAAACGGTTACCCTTAAAATGAGAAAACAATGGGAGGACATGGAAATTAAGGTTGCTGTAAAGCAATTTTCTGAATGTTCAAAAAAAGAAAAAGATAATAGCACAGTTCCTACATTGTTATTTTGAGAACAGATGGAACTTCCCCCTAACAGAAAGAGTTATAGTTCCTAAAACAAATGCTTTCTTAAGCAGATTTATGGTCTAAATAAGGTAAAGGTTCCCCTCGCACATATGTGCTAGTCATTCCCGACTCTAGGAGGCAGTGCTCATCTGTTTCAAAGCCGAAGAGCCAGCACTGTCCGAAGATGTCTCTGTGGTCATGTGGCCGGCATGATTGAATGCTGAAGGTGCACGGAAAGCTGTTACCGTCCCACCAAAGGTGGTTCCTATTTTTCTACTTGCATTTTTTACATGCTTTTGAACTGCTAGGTTAGTAGAAGCTGGGATAAGTAATGGGAGCTCACTGTGCTAGGGATTTGAATCACCAAATTGCCTTCTTTTATGATCAACAAGCGCAGCATTTCAGCCACTGAGCCACTGAGCCACTTTGTCCCTTTACTGGTCTAAATATATGCTTTAAAAATATACTCTAAAACAGCAGCCCCCAACTTTTTGGGCACCGGGGAACCAGTTCCATGGAGAAAGGTTTTTCCACGGACTGGAGTGGGCATGGTTTTGCATGCTGCCTATATCCCACTGACATGACGCAGCCTGATTGTGGCATGCCATCAACCGATGCTCTTCCATGGACTGGGCTTGGAGACCCCTGCTCTAAAATGACAAAATAGACTTAGAGTCAGGTAACACATTCAAGGCTAACTAGTTTCATTGTGGCATAAGTTTCTGATGATGGGAGCTTTTGCTTTCAAAATCATATGTAGCTATAATGTTGGTCAATCCTGAAGGTACAGTGAGATTCCCAGTCTATTTTATTGCCATGGATTTTGGATTCTTTCCTTTCCTCCCATCTGTCTTGTAAAGTGTTAATTTTTGGATGATATCCTAAATCCACTCAGGATATGTTTTGTTTTGATTGACCGCATTCTCTAAAACAGCCTCAATTAGTATTCATTTTTGATGTGGCCAACTTAATCAAAGTTAGAAAGAAGGGAAAAATACATACAGTGAGCCAACAAATGCCACATCAAACCAAAATGCCAAGCCGTGAATTAATCCAGATTGCATCATTTGAAATACAAAAGGGATTTCCACTCTGCAGAAGGAAATAAGAAAAGATTAACAACATAATTAGAAAACTGCAATTAAAAATATGAAAGTGTCATGAAGATCAGCATTCTTAAAATCTTTGATTAGAAATTAAATTAAATAGGTTTTCATCCAAGGAATTGTATCAAAAGTAATAGCTTTTCTGGATTAAATATTTACTAAGCATATTTACTAAATTTAGCACTATGCAGTCCTAAAAAAAATGACTGGAGTCCAAAAGAAAATTAATTTACTTCAGTTGAGGCCATCAACACCCACAGACAAAAAAATAATAATTCCTAGGTTCTCGTTACAAGACCAAATTTTGTGTTTCAAGAACACATTTTAGAAGCAACATCAGAATGGAAGGAGTGGCTATAACAATTTTTGTTATCCAATTATCTAAGACCTGTCTAAATTGGATGGCATACAATAAAATGCCAATGCACATGGATTGGGTCACTTTATACTAAAACCATCCACTCTAAATAACTATAATACTATTGTTATTTTAGTAGAGCACTTTTTTTCCCCTTCCATTCAATTGTGTCCAATTCTTGGAGACTGCTTGGACTATTCCCTGCAGTTTTCTTGGCAAGGTTTTTCAGCAGAGGTTTGCTATTGCCTCCTTCCTAGGGCTTAGAGCAGTGTTTCTCAACCTTGGCAACTTGAAGATGTCCAGACTTCAACTCCCAGAATTCCCCAGCCAGCGAATTCTGGGAGTTGAAGTCCGGACATCTTCAAGTTGCCAAGGTTGAGAAACACTGGCTTAGAGAAAATGATTGGCCTAAGATCATCCAGCTGGCTTTGTGTCTATGGCAGGATTGGAACTTAGGGTCTCCTGTTTTCTAGCCTGCTGCCTTAACCAGACTGGCTTTCTAGAGCACATTATTCTAGGATAAGAAAGAACTACATATTTTGAGTGTATCCCTACAGTGACTAGCTTTCGAATAAAGCGAAAACTATACCAACAAATAGTGGTTTAAAATGGAACAGGGTGAAATGGGATGATAGACTCTCACCTATGCAAATCTTCCTCTTCAGCTTCTAGAAAACTGACAGTGTATTTCACAGTCCGGGCCATCAAAATTCTAATGTCAAATGTGTCCTGCAAATAAAAATGGAAAAGAAAGAACACATATTATGATCTAGAGTAGGGTTAAAAACTAGGTCTGACAACTTCCATATGAAATCCCAATGTTAAATATAAAAATAAATTTGTTGAAATCTTGTGAAATTAATGTTTTCACATGATTTTTCATTTTAAGATAGAATCTCAAGGTTTTATGAGATATTTGCATTTTCATGTGAGATTTTTACATTCTCTAATGGGACTAGGCAATATCGTAGTGGGTGTGCACGTGTGTAAGAAACAAACTGGCGGTAAGCTTAAGAATTCCTTCCTTCAACCCAACACCAACACCAAGCCAAGCCAAAATAAATGTTAAGTCTCCTTCAAGTCAAACTAAGTTCCTGTTTTCTTCTTTGGCAAGTCCATTCTGTTTTCTTAGTAGCATGGAAGTGATTTATTACTGCCAATGTCTAAGATTATTTTTTTACAACCCAGTCTAGCCTATAGCTCTGATATTTCCTACAAATCGCTCATCCAGGTAATAACCCATACAGGTAATTATCAAGTATATAAAACTTTGGGACCAGTCAAAGTAATCTTGAGGTGTAAAAGAGGCAAAAACTATTTATTATTATATAATAGAAATTGGCACATTGTAGAGAAACAAATAGCAGCTCCAGAGCTCTAGGCAGTCCTACATAATTCCACTTGATCTCCCCCTCCCTTGTTTTTGGGACAAAAAAATAGTGAATATAAAGAATATACATTTTCATAAATTAACCTGTTATGCCTCTTACTTAAAAATCATTTTCATAAACATGTTCTACATAAACTCTTCTTGTCCAAATAAAATCCCCTGAATTCATTTCAACAATAAATTATAGATTTTTCATTATTTTGGATCAGATTATCATAAATTACAGCTCTTAAAACATTAGCAATATTTGTCACTGATGAATATTTTCAAGCAATCAAATAACACATATACTCCCACTACTGTCTGGGCCTGTGACAAAAAAAATTAACGAAGAGTCACAGGAGATTTAACAATATGGTTAAAAGGTTTTGGAGTTATTTTGTTTATAATGTAATTTCCAGGTTCTTTTCTCTTTTTTTGTAAAAAATGTGCATGTTACATATTGATCCTTTAGTGTTGCTTTATATATATTCATCAGTTTAGCATAAGTAAGTGAATCAATTTAAAAATGAGTACTTCTGATGCCATTTCTATGCATTTTAAAAAAAATTGGCTATGCTCTATTTCAAGACATATTTATACATCCAGAAATGGATGCTAAGTATCAGCCTTTTCCTTTATTTTCTGTGAGTACATTATCACCATAAATTATTTCACCAAGGGAGAGAGAGAGAAAAAAAATATTTTTTCTCTTGTTGCAACTGGAAAATCTGTTTGGAATACACTGATTTCAACTAGAAAAATAGCAATGACGTGAACTAAGCAACTATTCCTGGGATACTGTTTCTTTTCTTATCTTGGATATTTTGGGTTGGAACTACGGACGGTCCCTGGGTTACGACAGTAATTGGGTCCGGAATTTCCATCGTTAAGCAATACGGTTGCAGAACAGGACATCATGCGACTGCATCACTTAGGAGTTAATCCTGGAACTCCCTGCCATCCTTAAGCAAGTATTGTGAGCCATTAAGCAAGGATCTCCCTTCAAATTCCTGCAAGCTTCCAATTGGCAAAGTGAAAGGCAAGGCTGGAAGAAAGTCTTAAGTCCTAGTTGGCTTGCAAGACGGCCAGTGGGTAGGTAGGTCAGGTCGGAGAAGGTGCATATTGGTTGGGTTGGGGGATGGCCAGGTTGGGTGTTCCAGGTATGCTCGTGCATTATGATGTATGAGGCCCCTAAGCTCTTGTACTCCTTAGCCAGATTCCTCAGGAAAAGATTGCAGGAATATGAGCAACTTACCAAAACGATTTGCAAACTTCCCTGCCAGTTTCCACATTGACTTTGCTTGTGGGAAGCTGGCAGGAAGGATCGCAAATGGTGATCACATGAAACGGAATCTTGCAACTGTCATGAGTGCAAATCACCCATGACCATCTGGGCCCTGTGATGGGCGGAACTTTGACTTAAGAGGACCGATCATAAGTACAGGTAGTCCTTGACTTACGACCGCAACTGAGCCCAAAATTTTTGTTGCTGAGTGAGACGTTTGTTAACTGAGTTTTGCCCCCATTTTACGATTTTTCTTGCCATGGTTGCTAACTGAATCACTGCAGTTCTTAAGTTAGTAACATGGTTGTTAAGTGAATTTGGCTTCCCCGTTGACTTTGCTTTTCAGAAGGTTGAAAAAGGAGATGATGTAACTCCGGGTCACTGCAACCATCATAAATATGAGCCAATTATCAAGGGCCTGAATGTAAATCATGTGGCCATGAGGGTGCTGCAATGGTCATAACTGTGAAAAGTGGTCATATGTCATTTTTTTTAAAGTTCCGCTGTAACTTTGAATGGTCACTAAATGGACTGTTGTAAGTCGGGGACTACCTGTACCACCGTTCAGCATCCTTGTGACTTCAAACGGTGGTTGACCAAGTATTCGTTAATTGAGGACTACTTCTATACAAAAAAGGGAAAAAACTACGAAGAGTTAAGGATAGAAGGTAAGAGGTTTATTTTAATTGTAACAAAGGTCTCAGACAGGACATTATAGGCTAACTTTAATAAGCTGTAAAAGAGCAAAATGTGGCTTGAGAAGAACCTTTGCTAAGATGAGGCAATCAATTGGTGAGAACCTTGAAAAAACTGAGCCTTTTTGAAGGACGTATTCTGGGAAATCTCGAAAGCACCCAGATGGGGAAAAAATGGCTGGCTTCGGAATATAATGCAAAAAAAAGACAAAGCATTAAAAAAAAGAAAAAGAAAAATAGCAATTAACTTACTACAATGGGCTGTCTGAAGTACTCATCTACAGCTGCATTACGGAGACTGGATAGATTTACCCCATAAAAACATTGCTGATACCTGGAAGGAAGAATGTATTTGTTTTGCTTTTTAAATTAAAATCAGAGAAAGAAGTCTTACGGATCTCGTATAATGGCGTCAGATCTATGCATATTATTAAAAAATAAGCATACAAACTCTCTCTCTCTCTCTCTCTCTCTCTCTCTCTCTCTCTCTCTCTCTCTTTCTCTCTCAACATGAAGACTGCCCAAAGCACTTTTTAATTGTATATTCTGACTCAGTGTGTTTGTTTATTGCTAACTGCTTAATGGAGTAATTAACTCTGTAGAAAAAAAAAGTCCAGAGCCTTAAGCAATTTGGTTAAATTTTGAAAGAATTAATGGTCACCATTCAGCTACAACATTAATTGTGGTACTTATGTGCTACAGCTCTCCCTAAACCTTGGGCCGATAGGCAGAAGCTGGCTTTTACAATCACATCATGCATGGAATCTGGATTTCACAGGTGTTTTTTTTCCCCCTCCAGAGGAAAATAATATTTTTAAAGGCAAAACAGACGAAGGTCTCTAAGTAAGAAATGACTTAACATGAAAACTCTGGCCCTTGGAATGGATTTTAAGCACCAATTGAGGAAGAACTACGGTACAACTAGGCAAGAGAAGAGTCCAGGCTTGAACCAAATCAAAATGCTCCTATATTAGGACCATATATATGAATGAAGATGAGAAGGAATGGCCAAAAGAAATTATAGCAGACTCAGTCAATCAAAGACAGCAAGCACCTGGACATAATGGAAATGTTCAATTTTTGAACCAAGGTTGTGCTCCATGGGGATCTCAATAGCACTGACGCCGAATATTTGGCTTGCACAAAGAATTGCTTCACAGAACTCTTAATCCTGGTCTAAGGGCAAAATAATAATTATAGATTTGTGGCTGATGCCATCCTGAATTTTGCTATCCATTAGAAGGGTGATGATAACATTTTGCAAATTGATTATTTTCCCAACTAGAACTCTATACTGGGTAATTAAACAGCAGCACATTGATCTGTAATTAGATATCTATAATACAATATTCTACTATCTCAAGACGTTTAAGTTAGTTAACAAAAGAATGAATATGTCTCTTAATTCAACTTATAGACAAGGTATATGATGAGCAAGAGCAAGGAAAATTTTTTATTTGTGGCCATGCTATTGACTTTGGACATTCTTTTCAGAACAAAAATGGAGATTAAATCGCTAGCCAGAGCCATGGTTTTGTACCTTAAATAAAGATAAAACTACAAAAGCTAGCAGATATCCTTTTTGACAAATGGTACATTTAATAAGTAAGAAATATATGAATCTGAACAGCTGTGCCGTTATTTAGCCAGAATTCAAGGGAACCTGGATCCAGGTGGTGTATGTGGAGGATATGGCAATGTGATAATGGCATATTAATTCAAAAAGCTGTTTCCAAGTTGCTTGTCTGCAGGAGATGATGAAAATAATGAACCAACACATCTGCAGGATAATCAAGCTAGGCAAGGGTGAATTAAAAACTTCTTCAACCATGTCTCAGCATATTTATGTTGTCAATTTGAGGACCTACCTCTTCTTTTTCAAATTTTTGCTTCACCGAGTTCGGTTTCTTTACTGATACGTCATATCAATTGGGATTTTATTGATCTTGAATGATACTTCATATCAACATATGTATGTCATTCTCACATGCAGAATTTTATTACCACATAAAGCACTGCTACAAGTACTGATGTTCATGCAGAAGTGGTTTCCAGAGTTGAGTGCAGCAAAATCCAATATTCAGAAGTTCCAAAACCTCATCAAGTCAATATCACATACTCAACAATTTTAGAAAGCAACAAGCAGCAGAAAACCATTTTCATTGGAAAATGACATGCTATTACGAGAGAAAGAAGTACGCATTCATTCAAACAAACAAGACCCCAAGGAATGTCTGCTAAAAGCACACTTCTCAACACAATGAGAATTACTGCTATACAAATAATTTTGAACCACACGCTTAACATTGCAGAGTTAAATGGAAAGTAATTTAAGGGGAGTTAGTTCTATAAGAAATCATGTTTAAGATAAAAATAAAGATCAACTTTGCACTGCAGAGTCAGAGTAACCATAAAGTCAGATAACATAGTAAGCAGAGCACATAAGATGTGCAAGTTTTCTCCAACACAAAAATTACAAAACAGCCTATAGAACTAGTTAATGTTTTCTACCTTAAAAAATAGAAAGGCCACAACATATTTACTATTAAAAGAGAATTATATAGTTCTACATTTACAGTTCTCTTTCTACTTATAGAACTAAAAATAAAGTGATTAAAACATTCCAAAATAATATTTTGAGCCAATTTTGAAGGATAAGACGATAATATTAAAGTTAAGCTTTTATATTTATATATTTCTGCCAGTGACCTTAGAGGGATCCTATTAGAGAAAGTTAAAATCTTCAAATTGAATTTGTGGTGATAGATGTGTTTATACCACTTTCTTGCCAAAATATGGGAAGAGTTTGACATTACTTTTTTCCAGAATGTATTCTGAAATTCCCAATCCATCCTAAAATTCTGGCTTCGCCACTCGATCTCACATGTAAGTGTTAATCAGAGACAACCATTGTTTAGCTTTCTAGATTAGCCAAAATATTTGTAAAAGAAATGTTTCACTGTCTGTACAATACAACTTGTACAGAGTAAAGAACTGCTACCATTGAAAAATACAGTGGAAGATATATTGCTCCCCACTAATCTTCAGATATTCCAAAAGATATTCTAAATCAGGAGTGTCAAAGTTACGGCATCATGGTGTCACATGATGTATCAGGGCTTGATCCCTTTCAATAAGCCAGGTGTGGGCGTCGCCAGCATGTGACACATCCGGCCCATGGGCTGTTTGACAGCGCTGTTTTAGATGATCAGGCTTCCATCCTTCCCAAACATTTTAAAATGTACTGAAGATTAATTCAGGCTGTTTCCAGATCTAATAAGGCATAATGATACTATGAGTATGATCATCTCCCTCTATTTCCAAATACTATATAGAAATCCAAGAATTGACAACCAATTTCAGATTTCTGACTAATAACTGAGTATAGTGAGAACAGATGGTTACTGGAAATACAAGGGAATGTTGCAATACACTCAAATTTTTGAAGCTGTGTTTGCTGAAATAGCATTTCTCCCTTCAAGGTTAAAAAGGGGGTGGGGGTTGTGGCATATAGGCATATTGTAATCACAGTCCGCAGTGGTGGTGCCATACAGTTGGTTAAGGGTGGGGTTGTTCTACATCAAGATGGTAAGAGAGAAGTGCCTATATACTTTCCCCAAGTACATATCTCCATTCCATAATCCTGTTCTTAATTTTCCATTTTGTCACTAAACCTATGTATCTCAAACTGTACAATACTCTCTAAAAGGATTTCTGCTTGGCAAGCTCATTACTGTATTTTTACAATTCCAGATAATTACCATTTTTATTTTTCTCCATAGAGTGTAGCCATGGGACCACTACCTATTTATTATTTTGCAATTTTTAGTTTAGTTTTTTACATTTATATTTAACTATTTAATTATATTTGTAAGAGCTTACATCCGAAGGCTTGTACATTGTAAGTACAATGTAATGAACGGGCACGTGTGTCTGTGTGTGCATACACAAATAAATTAAACTGCATATACTTATCTGTGTACATCTGTGATAAATTTAAATTTATGTTTGCAAATGGAAGTGCATAATTATTATAAGTACATTTGTGGAAGCAGTAGGAGAGAGACAACTTAAAAGGAAGTGCAAAGAGAAGATGCTATAAATAATTTTCTCTACACATCATGAATTATCATGGGGTCCTTAATTACATCTTTTTAATGAGCTGTTAAATGACTCCTAAAGTAAACAAGTGCCTAACAAAATCCATCTTAAAATGCACTGCAGACATCTGTCTGTGTATTAATAAAAAGAACACCGAATAATTAAGGAGAATTTAGAAAGTCTGGTTGAGATTCCCAGTTTGGAATAAATTATCTTGCAGGTGTTTCAGTACTTCTCTTTCTATAAATATTGTGCGTAATTGCATATGATTGGCTTTGTATGCAGCCATTCATTTCCATTACAACAGTAAGAAAAAGCAGAACAGAGAAAACATATCTTGTGTTCATTTTGTTCTATTGTAAAAGGGATATGTCATCTTAAAACTCAGGCAGCATCCACCCCGCAAGACTAGTTACATAGCAATGACACACAATCACATGGAAACTAATGATAATTCACAGGAGTGGTAGTGGAGAGGGGAATATTTGCTTTTCAATGAAGGAAAGCAAGAAAAACAAAAGAAAGGTCTATATTGCAGAGTAGGCTCACACAAATGCATTGATACAGCAGCCTATCTTGACCTTGTAAATGGCAAGAAGAACATCATGGGGGAATGTGCAAAATGCCATACTCCATTTCCTTAGCTGGAATCCATGATAACATTTCATGATCAGGGGTGGGCTGCTGGAACTTCACATGGGTTCGGGAGAACCTCTAGCTAAGATTCTGTGCAGTTCGGAGAACTCTCAAATCCCACTCCTGGCTGGCCCCGCCCACCCCACCCCGGAGTCTCCACGCGGCCTGTTTTGGTTGCAGGTAAGT